AACGCATTTATGTGCAGTATCGAAGATCGACTTCAGGACCAAGGCAAGTTACCCGAGTTCTACAAACGCTATGTGGATGACACATTGAGCATAATGCCTAACTTCGAAACAGCCGAAGCATTCCTTTCCTCTCTAAATGAGAGCCATCCATCTGTCAGCTTCACCATGAAACTTGGCAAACACAGTAAACTTCCCTTCCTGGGAACGAAGATCAGGAAATGCAATGGTCGCCTGGAGACAAGGGTGTACAGAAAACCAACTGACACCGGATTATTACTACATTACAAGAGCCAAGTGGATGATAGATACAAGAAGTCATTGCTAAAAACAATGCTGGATCGTGCCTTTAAAGTGCCATCTACCTGGCAACGGTTCCACCTGGAATGTGATCGTCTCACACAGACGTTCTCCCGACTTCAGTACCCAGCCCAACTGCTGCAATCGTCCATCAGTAATTTTGTCACCAAGAAAGTTTCTGGCGATCCAATTTCCACACGGGGATGTAACATAAATGAAGCGCCTGTCTGAATAGTGTTACCATTCAAAGATTAGAGATCGGCCAATTCCGCACGAAGGCAGCTTGGGGAACTGGGCCACAAAATTGGAATTTATATCCGCCCCGTGTATACAAGCCGTATGATCGGACATCAAACCAAAAGAAAAGAAGCCGCCTATCATTAACCAGCAACGCGTTGTTTACTATTCACAAGTGTGGTTTGTGCCATACAAACTATGTCGGGCATACGCACGTGCCGACACCTCTATCAGCGCGTCGAGGAACACAAAGGATCGTCTTCAATCGGGAATCACATTAAAGAGCAACATGGAACAGTCCCAAGTGACATATATCGTGATTTTAAAATCTTGAGAAAGTGCCAAAGTAAATTCGACTGCCTAATCTACGAAATGCTCTTTATAAAGGAGCTTAAACCAACTTTAAACAAACAGTCAGATTCAATCCGTGCAAAGTTATTTATATAGTCTTTTATAGTATTTTATTATTTACACTTACATTTTAGCGCTAGTATTTGCACATTTTATCGTTGGACATTCTCACGCCCTAATTTGTACTTATATATGTATATTTCATTCGCGTTTTCTACAACTTGAAAATGATCTTAGAGAGATCGATACGTCGTTTTTTATGCAAAAGTACAACAAAAGTAAGATTTCTAAGCATTTCTGTGCAATTTTGAGGCGTAAACAGCGTTGCTAAATAACTTTGTCCTCAATAAAAAAACAAAAAATTTATGAGTAAAAACTACGCATCAATATTAATAATAATTAATCTTGTGAAAATTATTCACCTGAGACACTCGAGTCACTTCCTCCGCCATTTTTTTTAAAAAACCGCTGAGCTAGCAGGCCAGCTGCGTGCATCTTGCGCCCATGATTTGCCCCAGGGGGAAGGGGGCATTTGGCTTCTTTTTGACAGGAAATTGATAAATTGCCCACTAAAACATTGTGAAATATGGAAGCAAGGCCAATTTAAGCACTAAAAGCTGCTCCGATTTCTCAAAATTGATAGAAAACTAGAAATTGCTCAGAATGCAAAAAAGTTGCTCGAAACGAAAAAAGTTGCTCGAAATACAAAAAGTTTCTAAAACGTTGCCGAGCAACTTGTGGAAAGCCCTAGCTGCAAGTTTCAGACAACAACTAAAAGAAAATTAATTATACAAAATAATTAGATAATTCGTTATCTTTCATCTATTTATTTATTTATTTATTTATTTAATTTCTTTCTTTTTTCTTAGTTTTATTTGCTATAAAAAAAGATACAAAGAAATTACAATCACTAGTATGCAAAGAATAGAAAAATGGCGAGGGAACCTAATAAAAAAGGGGGCTTGTAAATAAACGTTCTCCCTCCCTAGAAATACAAGGGGACTAAAACTATACATTATTATAGTAAATGACTATTGACAATTACTGACCATATTTGTACGCTTAACAGAATTAGTAATTGCTGATAATAAATATTTTAAAGGAGCCTGAGCTATTTTAGCCACGTAGAAAATTACCTTTAAACTGAAAATAATGCTCTACTAAGATAGAAGAACACCAAAAAGATCATAATAAACCATGAAGGAACAAGAATGGTTAAGGATGGAGAAGATTAACACGGATTACGAACGACGAACGTGAAAAGTTTGAGCCAAACTTTTCAAGATACTAAACCGTGGCGTAGCTCCTTTAATTTTTTCCTAAGGGATGCACTGAAGAGATGAAGAGTCAGTGATCTCAACATGAAGAGAGTTTTGGACCACCAAAGAAAACAGAGATTCCTATGAAGAGATAGTTTACCTCAAGCGTTTATAATTTCCTTACAGAGCATAGAAAACCATCTTCTATTTTGAAAACGCATTAACGCTTTCACCATTAGTGTAGATCACATCGCTGTCGTATTCAAGCCGGGTATCGTGGTACCTACAGAGTGCTCACAGCCTTGATTGGGTGGCTTGACAAAAAATATATCTCGTGTACAAAATGTGCGATTTTTCACGACTTATTTGCCTAAATTCCTTTGCTGATTGAAAATATGGGAAAAACGTTTTTCGGAGGAACCTATAAAGAAAAAGACCAAGACAAAATAATAATAATAATAATAATAATAATAATAATAATAATAATAGTAATAATAATAATCATCATCATCATCATCATCATCATAAAAACAGGTGTGCTGTTCTTTTCACCCCAAGTCGAGGACTACCTCACTGTTCTTATTCTTGTCCCCAGGGTCCCCTGTCCATCTTGATCGCCGGAGCCTTGGTACGAGGAAAAGGTGTCTTTGCGGATACGCTGCTTTGATTAGCTAGGTTTGTCTGAGAGTGACAAAAGGCTCTTCACACAAGACTTTGAAGGGCCCTGGGAACGAGTCTGCAACATTGCAGTTCACAGAGCCACCGAGAAATTCCTCGTGCGAAACCCTGGTCGGCTCAAAGGGACAGGCTCTGGGGACCAGAACGCGTAAACCGAACGGACAATAACGCCTCAACCTACAAAAGCAATTATTACTTTAAAAAAAGCGTTAAGAGAAAAAAATTATTCTAATTATGTATATAATATAAATATGTGAAATTCGTTTTTTTTTTTTTCATTTTTTTTATTATTATTATTTGTTAACGCCAGTTATCTTTATTCATAGCCCGATAAGCTAAGTTATCAATTATAGATAACCAACAACTTACTAAAGATATCTTGAAACCGTAGTTTTTTCCCGAATCGAAGTAAAGATCGAAACAAGTAAATGGTAATATTAATGTCCACGAAATTGTCAGAGAAGAAGTTGTTTTTGACAGCAAAATGACGTACGTTGGCTTGCGCAGAAAAATTTCACTGTTATGCATTCAGAGATGAAAACTTTAAGTGAATCTTATCCCCAGTGACCGCAATCTTGATAAAGAAATTCTATGTTGAACTGTATTTTAGTTTCCTTTAATATTTTACATTTTCCGTCGATGTGCCCCCGCGTGATTAAAGATATATGAAACCTCAGCCTTCTGACTAAATTTAGAACGCGATCAATTCCCAGCGGCACACACAGACGAAAATATTTCACGCATTCATAAAGTCTAATAAAACGCTTGGGTAACTGCGATATAGCTAACGGCGGCATTTCTCTGGTTTGGTGTCTTTTTATTAGCGAAATTTGCATAGCTTTCGATCACGAGTTATTCAGAAGGGCACTTTTATTAATCAAGCTGTCACTTGTGAAAAGTGAGTGATTAAAAGGCAATTCTGAATGACAAACTACGATGAATTCAGTGGTGGGAAGAACCAGGTTCTTGCCCTAACAGGTTTATTGACATTTCATCCAGATGACGCTTTTGTCATTTCTTTCAATTGACTTGGTATTAGCTCTTCAAAAGCTTTGGATGTGTTTCTCAGCACCTGCCAAACTGTAAGAGGAGAATTTGCATAGGCAAGTAATTTGTCCGCGTGACCGGCGGTGATTCCAGCGCGAAGTCACATCGGCTGTGAACCAATGCAGCTTTCGGTTTTCATCCTCGTAAATGGCCTAGCAAATCTGGAACACGCGGATTGCGATGTTAAGAGCTTTTATTGGTAAGTAGGTTGAATTGCTTTGTTTAAAAAGACCCGAAAAAACTCATTTTGCTAATATCGAGCAATTGTCTTTTTTCTCACGACATATGCGATGACTATTTATGTCTAGCAGGCGATCGGATCCTTAACTTGCGCGGATCAAATTACCGAAAGCCACTTCAACTTTGTCCCTGTTTCCTTCGAACGAAAGCTTTAAAAATATTTTTCTTTAAGTTTCCTTCTTTTGAGCAGTAAGTCTCCATTAAACTGCTTGCGTTGTGGATGGCGCCGCTGTCACGCGAATCTACGCCCGTCGTTCATTCCGTCATGTCGAATATATTTTTTATTTATTTCTCCTCCGTCAAGAGGTACACCCTCTGTACCACATGCGACGCTATAGAACGAAGTGGAAGCATTATGATAACATTATTATCGGCCGTTCTAACAAAGGAAAGCACTGAAACATTTTAAAAATCACAAAGTAAACAGACGATCCAGCAAACCAGAGAAAGAAAACAATTGACCACGTGTTCATTTCTTCTCATGCTTGCCACATGTTCTTTGTTAAATTTATTATTCCGGCTGACCGGAAGCCAATAGCGTGGATATAAACAAAGTGAAAAATATCTACGGAGCAAAATTTGAACCAAAGGTAATTTAAAATCCACTTTAACAACCGTCGAAACTGGCAAGGGACCATTTTCAGTATTTAGGGTTTTATTTTTCAGTTCTCAGTTTTGCTTGCCTGGTTTCCTGCGGCAACGAAAAGTTCAAAAACAGAATTCACGGTCGAGCGAGAATTAAATGCGATGAACGTGACAAAGTAAAGTCGTGTCGTGGCACATTGCTTCGTCATTTTATTTATTCAGTGTCCCATTGATGGACTCGTTTTATAATTAAAATTCGAGTTACAAGCGTGACTCTCTGAAACATGTTCATTCGCGCGTTAATTGTATTGAGGTTCGAAACCAGTCAAAACAATTGTTTCGAATGAAGTCTTTCTCGGCAGAGACAACCTTATTTATTTTGTCCTAGAAAGAACAGCAAAGGAAAATTACCGCTTTGATCTATACTGTTTCTGCCCTGAACACAATTGCAATGAATTTTGCAACGAACGCGGTCGTTCAGTCACGTGCTTAGGGTAAATTTCTTAGCGGTGAGGGGCATGGGGTGACCGGCACAAGGGGCACTAGAGCGGGGTTGTGTTGACGGACGTGGTATGGCACTTGCTGTGCTGTCTGTCTTCTCAGAATTTTTTCCCTTTTATGGCCAAACGTAGTTAAGATCTTGCAAAAAAATGCCCAATCTTTCCGCATCCTTTCCCCCTCTCCGCTATTACGTTTAACAGTCCGAGCTGTGATACATCTTAATTATATGGTAAGAGAAAGTCATCATGTAACCTGAGTAAATTTACCATGTTTGTTTTAATGAAGTAAATTGAAGTACGAGTCAGGTAAAGAGTAACGAGTCAACTCGGAGTCAAAGTCTGT